TGCAGGGGCAAGTAATTTTTTTAGATTCCTTTATCAGGTTGAGGACATTCCCTACTATTTCCAGTTTGTTGATATTTTTAACATGAATTGATGTTGAATTTTGAAAATTTTTTTATATCAATTAATATGATTATATACTTTTTATTATTTAAACTATTAATTTGAGGGATTTTATTAATTTCCAATATCAAATAAACATTTTATTACCAGGACAAATGCCACATGGTGATGGAGTATTTATTATTTTTATATTTTATTATATTTAACATTTCATTGAGGATTTTTGTGTCTGCATTCATTAGGGGTATTAGATTAGTCTTAGTTTTCTTTCTCCCCCTCCTTTGTTGATGCATTCTTTGTGTAGTTTTGGTATCTGATTAATAATAGTCTTATAAAAGGAGTTAAAAAATGTTTCCCTCTTTTCTTTCCTGGACATTTTATAAAGATTTGACAGAATTGATTACTGAAGCCATCTAGGTCTGTGGATTTCTTATTTAGAATATTTTAAGTATAAATTTTATTTCTGTAATCAGGTTATATACTTTATCTAGTATGTGTTTTGGTAATTTGTGGTTTCAGTAGAAATTTTACATTTTTGTCTGTTCTCAAATTTTATGTGCATAGAAATCTTCATAGTATCCCACTTATTATTACTTTAATTTCCTGGGGATCTGTAGTGATATCCCTTCTTTCCCTTCTGATATTGGTACTTTTTTTCTTCTCTCTTTTTCTTCATATTATTCTGTCTACAGTTATATCAATTGTTTTGATTTTTTTAAAGACAAACTTTGTTTTATTGATACTCTCTATTGTTTTTGTTTTTATTTTAAACCAAAAATATTTCTTTGGTTTCATCCTTATCTTTATTTCGTTTCTTCTGCTTGCTTTGGGTTAATTTGCTCTTTTTTTGTGGATTCTTAAAGTGAAGTTAAGATTTGAGACCTGACTCCTGATTTGAGACCATTCCTTTTTTATAATGTAAGAATTAAAGATTTCATCCTTTTTGATATGTTGTATTTTATTTTTGTGCAGTTCATTATATATATAAAGCCTAAGCAACAATACTATCATTTTACTGTTCTCCTGGTAGCTATGATGCGCGATGACCACCAGGGGGCATACACTCCAATGAGTAGAGGAGGGAGCCTGATTCCTGCAGAATCGGCAGTGAGTTAGGTTGCTGCTGGGGCACTGTTGGCCCTGAATCTGCTTCAACTATACCCCGACCCAGAGAGGAGGGAACCTGATTCCAGGGTGCATCACCAGAGAAACACCCTCTCACGATCTGGTACTCCTCGGGAAATGTCAGAGAGCCGGTTTTGGCCTGATCCCTATAGGCCAGGCTGAGGAACCTCACCAGTGCACAGCATGTACCAGGCCTATAGTATTATATAATGTACTTTGAGAATTCTTCTCTATGGATTTGCCTTTGTAGCCACTCAGACAATTTGTCATGTATTCCATATCTTTTGGTTCTTGGTTGTAATCAAATGCTAAATTGAAATATAAGTAATCACATGAAGGTTTTAACAGCTTTATTTGTGGTTATAAATAATAATGTGACATTTATATACATTATTTTATTAAGGATAAGAATAGCTATCGTGTATTAAATGCATACTATGCATAGCCACTATGTTGATCACTTTATGTAACCATATCTCATTAAATTCTCCCAGCAACCATTTCAGCCAAGTACTGCTATTAGACCTATTTTAAGATGGAGGAAACTGTCACACATATTTTAAGTGACTTGTTCAGAGTCACTAGGCCAGTAAGTGCCTCTGTCTTACTATGTACCATGTGTCTTACTATGTACCATGTACTTTTCTGAGCACTTTATACATATTGACTCTTTATAATAATCTTAAATTGGTACTATTATGTTTCCATTGTGCAGATGAGGAAACTCTTACAGGACCTTCTAGTGGCCCATTATCCATCTTGCATACCCAGTAGAAATGTGGGTGTCAGGCTAGAGGTGGGTATAAAGTGAAATCAAAAGCATTGGCCTCTGATGTGGTCAGTTAGTTACCTGTTAGACTGTGCCCTAGGTCACAGTCTAGAAGGCAGTTGCACTGTGTAATTGGGACAGTTTTACCACAAAAGACACAAGGGGTATTTTTTCCTATGTGGCTTGCAGTCTGACACACTCACTAATGTTCTAATGTTCTAATGTTCTCTCTCTCTCTCTCTTTCTCTCTCTCTCTCTCTCTCTCTCTCTCTCTCTCTTACACACACACACACTGAACAGGTGTAATGATCATGTCATGAATTTGAAGCAGGGTACAGTGGCCAAAAATAGGCTTGAAACTTGAGGAAACCTGTGTATGACTTTTCCTTCTGCTACTTATTATCTATGAGATCTTGGGCAAGTCACTTAATCGCTTAGTACTTTGGTTACCTCAGCTATGCAATTGAAGAAGATGATTATAATAAGACCTATGAGGATTAAATGAGATGATGTATTTGAATAATTAGCCCAGTGATAGGCATATTGAAATGCTCAATACATGCTGATATTTTGTAATTATTGATATTCAATATCTTTTTATGTGTTATGGATAATTCTTTACCATGTATATAACTTGTGAAACTGAATTTTGAGGACTCAGAACAAATCCTGTCTTTATCCAGGAAATTTATCAGTTTTTAAAATCTTGATATTGGTTTTATCTTCTTTATTTTTGGCCTTCCACAGTCCAGTTTCATCCTCCTCAAGATTCAACATTTGGTGCCCCAATTTTTAATTGGCCTTGTGTCAATTCTGGCATTTAAGGCAAATGGCAAAGCCTGGCACTACTGTCCCTTATACTGAGTACATTATACAGAGTGTTATGCTATGGCTGTCACATAGGAGGGGCAGACTTAGGCCATACTCTACTTCACCTGAGGCCTGGAATGACTGTTAATGACCCCTGGTCTAGGCACTGAGGCTTGAGCCATAGTTTTCATCAGTCAAGTTTCTCAGAGCAAGCAGTATCCCCATGACCCTGTTGTAAAAGTATGGTGACCTGGCCAGCCTGGAGAGTTAGGAGTGGCATTTTATTGATGTGCTTCCTCCCTTTGATGGACCAAGCCAAGTCCTGGTGAACTATAGGACTGTGATGACCTGCCACGACTTAAGAGCATTCTCTTCTTGGTCATTCCCTGAAAGCATATTAAGCCTGGGCAGTGGATGTTGGAGGTGGTAGAGAACTCCCCCTGAAGCCAAAGGAAAAAGGAGCATCCCCAGCTCTCTGCCAGAGGTCATTTTTGCAAGGGATAATGCAGGAAGGCTCCGATAGAAAGGAGAGATATGAGTTTGGAGACTGGAGTCAGATAAACCTGGGTTTGAATCTTGGCTCTTAAATGTGGTGTTGACTAGGTCACTTTGCTTCTTTGAATTTGGTTTTCTCTTCAACAAAATGGGAAAAGTAATTATACCTATGTCATGAGATTGCTGTAAAAATTAAGCAATGGTGTTTATGTAAAGAAGTTAATTACTTTCCTAGAATATGTTAAATGCGCATCATCACTGTCGTTTTAGCATTGGCAACAAGAACAAACACACTAGGAGAAATGAAAAGCAGCCTTGGAACTTCTGTGTTATTCTCTTGGGTCTACTTTTAACTTCTGTTAATATTAGGCACACATCTGTGAGTTCCAAGAGAAGAGCTAACGTTCTAGGGGTCTACAAGGTGTGGTCTGCTTTCCTATTCCTGGTATAAGAGAAATCATAGTATCACAGGGCCACTGTGTTAGTGTGTGTGTAAGAGATTAAGAGAGTGAGAGGGAGAGACTTGAGATCTAGGAGGCATGTTGACTTAGCGGTAGTTATGTGTGACTCATCAAATCAGCTTTTCTTCAGGAGGAATAGACTGTCATTCTTTACCTCTCTCTTAGTAGTGAAGGACCAATGGCTTGTAATCATAGAGAAAGCTATTCAAATCCATCCTCAGAGCCCTTTGCAAGTGAATTTTATTTCTGACGTGGTTGTTCTTGAATTATAAGGAATTTCTAATGTGCATTTTAACAAGTTTGTTATTGGGAAACAGTATCACTACACAGTGCTGAAGTGACTACATTCTCCCTGTCATCCCTTCCTTTTAAGTCAAATATACCAATATATAAAATAAATCAAAGGAAGCCTGGGAGGCTGCCACTCTGCCGTCACCACCTCCTGTAGCAGCCCCTAAAAGCATTTCTAAGAAGATGGGGGAAGAGTTTGCAAAGCACTGCAGTTGGCTCTTTGAGTTATACTTGCTTTTTTATGCCCAGGTTGCCATTTGGGGAAAAGAATTAGAAGTGGTTCCATAAATAAGCAACTCTGTTATAAGAAACTAGAGGCCTGTTGCATGAAGTTTCATGCAAAAATAGGCTTTCCTTCCCCTGGTTTTTCTCCTGGCCACTGGGGAGCGTGCAAGTCTTTGCTCCCAGCCAGAGTGCAGCTCCTGTAGCTCCCTCTGGCCCTGCCCTCCCCTCATAACAGGTGTCCCGCTCCGCCCAGCTGCTCCCTGCCTGCATATGCAAATTAACCCATCATCTTTGTTGGGTTAATTTGCATACTCACTCCTGATTGACTAATGGGTCTCACAGAAGTACAGCCAATTTGCATGTTTCTCTTTTATTAGCATAGATGGGTCTCTACTGTAATAACAGAGCACTTGGATACTGCAGCTTTCCTTTCTAATGCTGTCTGAGCTGTAGTAGTTGAAGCCATTGATTGGGGCTGACTGGATGATTTGAAAGATCAGAGCTCATCATGTAATGAAGTATTATAACCAAAGTATGTTCCAAACGTGTTTGGGGGATTTTGAGGCAGTGATGATGCTCTTCAGAACATTTCAGTTAATACAAAATATGCAGCTTTTCATTTATAGTGCCCATGTGCCAACTCCAATGCTCTTTTACATGGAGAGCCACTTGTTTACATTCTCTCCCATATGGTGTGGCATAACCTGTCTGCCTCTCCATCAGTGTCTGTGTGTGATCTAGACTTTATTTTTCTTCTTCTCCAGGCTACAGATGCACATGTTAAATGGAGCTCTCCTGGCTTTGCTGTTTCCTGTGGTAAATACCCGGCTGGTAAGTAGTTTCTTCAAGAGCATACAAGCAGCATACAAAGCAGCATTTGCTCACTACTTTATTATGCATTGCTTGTCCTCATCTTTAGCTCATGTGCCCATGTGAGTGTGAAAATATCTACATATATTTTACCTTTAAATAACATAGGTTTGAACTGTGCAGGTCCAATTATATGTGGATGTTTAAAAATAAATAATAAAGTACTGTAAATGTATTTTCTTTTCCTTATGATTTTAATAACATTTTCTTTTCTCTAGATTACTTTATGGCATATTATATATAAAACATACAAAATATGTGTTAATCATCTGGTTAGGCTTCAGTAGGCTATTAGTTAAGTTTTTGGGGAGTCAAAAGTTATACATGGATTTTTTTTTACTGCATTGGGGGTCAGATCCCTAGTCCCTGTGTTGTTCAAGGATAACTGTATTTAATGTTCAGGTTTGATGCAGCCCTGTTTGGATCAGTAGAACATGATGGAAATAGGAGCATTTTGTGGAACTCTGAGGCTTGCAATAGTTTCTGGTTTAGGCCAGAATCAAGGCAGACCACAAAGCCTATGGACGCTTTTGGAGAGGTTTTGTAGAGAAGGGAGACTATTACACAGAGGATTCAGATGTTTCTAAGTGTCTCTAGTGTGAACTCAATCATGTTGAACCAAGATAATCTGCTAGGGAGTTTCAAAGCTTATCTGCTTTGCCTAAGACCCCTTTGGGCAAGAATTAGATTCCTTCCTTATTCTTCCAAACCCACAGGGAAGTCTGGGCCACACACATCCCCTGTGGCCAGCAGGTAGAATTCCACTGTGGCAGGAAGCTGAGTGTTAAACCCCCAGAGAGAGAAGCTAGAGCTACAGAGTGGGGTAGGAGGGCCCTGTCTTCCGCGTCCCAGCTGTGGGAGTCAGAGGGATTAGTAGGCAATGTTAGAAAGCTAAGGGAATAAATCACTGATAAATCCTTTCTTTTGCTTTTCATTTGCATGATTTAAGTTTGCCTCAAACATTAAGATCACAGTTTAAATCTCATGATAATTGTTTTTCTTTAGATAACAGTTTTACAAGGTATTTTCACATACCAATTTTGTAAGGTAGATAGGGCAAATATTATAGCCTTTCCTCACAGTGAAAGAAACTGACATTCAGGGAGTTACACAGACACACACACACACACACACACACACATACACACACACACACTCACGGAGCTTAAGCCTCCAGATCTTATGAACACAGTTATACTCACTTTCTCTCTCTGAAAATTTAATCATTCTCTCTCCACAAATACTCATGTATATTCTTATGATTATCATACTGTTATAAATGCATATTATACATCAACAGAAATTAAAAGAAAAATTATTCATTTAAGCAGTGGCTTTGAACCCTCAGTATGTTCTAGGCTCACCTAGGGGTACTTTAAAAACAACAAACTGATGAATAAAACAATCAAAAAATTCTGAATGCCCTGTCTCTCTTCCCACTACCCCCGATTACAGTTCTGAATTTTTGACCTGTGATGCAGCCTGGGTAAAGTGTTTTAAAAAGTCCTTCTAAAATGGAGCTGCAGTTAGAGCCACTGATTTTGTGCAATGGTTCTGAAACAATATCCATAGCATTAACCTAAAGGAATGGCTGAAAAATGAGGTTTGCTAGTCCTGGCTGGTGGCTCAGTAGATTGGAGTATAGTTCCATGCACGAGAAGGTATCAGGTTTGATTCCAGTCAGGGAACATACCCTCTCTCCCTTTTCCTCCCTCCCTCCCTCCTTTCTTCCCTCCCTCACTCCCTTCCTCCCTCCCTCCCTCTCTCCCTCTGTCTTTACCTTCCTCCTCCCTTCCTCCGTCCCTCCCTCTCCTTCTCTCAAATCAATAAAAACATATCCTTGAGTCAAGATTTTTTTCTTTTTAAAGAGGGTTGGCAGACCCCATCTCCAGAAAGTCTGATAGAGAGGGTCTGAGGTAATGCCAATTGCTTGAGCTTTCAGACCAGTCTTGGAAAATCAGTGTCCTAGTCACTGAAAATTCTAAGTTACTTGTGTGTAACTCAAAGTGTGGTCTGATGATCAGCATCAGGTGACTGTTGCTTGTTAGAAATGCAGAATTTCAGGACCCACCTCAGACCCACTGCATCAAAATCTGCATTTTAACAGGTTCCCCTGGTGGCTTATATGGATGGCCTGGCTCCTTTCTTCCAAAGAGCACAAAGTACCTTATAGGTTGACCATTCAACTGCCAGAAGAGGGAAACACAGTGGTGAAAGAGGGCAGGCCATATAATACATCTTTGAACAACATTGTTTTCTTGAGATGCTATAGGAACTTAACTCCTACACACCCCCCCCCCCTCCACCACCCCATGCATGAATTTTGTGCACTGGGCCTCTAGTAGAAGATAATACCCAAGAATAGTGTTAATCAAACAAATTGAAAACACATTTCTTACTGGCTCAGGTTTGGAGCTGGAGCTCAAGTTACTCTCTGCCTGTGGTGGTAACCTGCTAAGGCAAGGAAGTGTATCCAGTTCTATTTTTTTTCCATCTCTCTAATCATCCTGCTACTGTTTTCTCAGGAGATTTCCAGGTCTGTAAAGATATTGCTATAATATATGCTTGCTATTTTGCTACCTATGGAGTCTTGTAGGATTTTTATAGTTTCCTGTCTTACATTTAAGTCCTTTAGCCATTTTGACTTTGTTTCTGTGTATGTTGGTGATCTAGTTTCATTTTTTTGCTTGTATCTGACCAAATTTCCCAGCACCATTTATTGAAGAGACTGTCTTGACTCCACTATATGTTCCATATTTGCCTCCTTTGTCAAATTATTAATTGAGGTTTGGGTCTATTTCTGGGTTCTTTGTTCTTTTCAATTAGTCTATATGTCTGTTCTTGTGCCAGTCCCAGGCAGTTTTGAGAACCGTGGCTTGATAATATAGTTTGATATCTGGTATTGTGATCCCTCTAATATTGTTTTTTCTCAGGATTGCTGAGGCTATTCTGGATCTTTTTTTATTTTATATGAATTTTTGGAGAGTTTATTCTAAATCTTTGAAGTATGCCATTGGTATTTTAATGAGGATTGCTTTGAATCTGTAGATTACTTTGGGTAGTATGGACATTTTAATTATGTTTATTCTATAAATCCATGAACATGGTATGTTCTTCCATTTGTTTATATCTTCCTCTATCTCTTTTTTCAATATCCTGTAGTTTTCCGAGTACAAGTCTTTTACCTCCTTAGTTAAGTTTATTCCTAGAAATCTTAATTTTTTTTGGTGTAAATGGGATTGTTTTTTGTTTCTCTTTCTGTGAGTTCATTATTGGTATATAAACAGGTCATAGATTTCTGGGTGTTAATTTTGTATCCTGTTACATTGCCAAATTCATTTATTAAGTCTAGTAGTTTTTTGATGGAGTCTTTGGGGTTTTCCATGTACAGTATCATGTCATCTATATAATAAAAGCCTAAGCGACCTTTATGACAGAACGACCAGAATGACTGTTCCCTGTGAAGTTTGATGCAGAAGCTGCCCCCTGGTGGTCAGTGTGCTACTACAGGGGAGCACCACTCAGCCAGAAGCTGGGCTGAAGGCTGGCAAGCACAGTGGTGGTGGTGGGAGCCTCTCCTGCCTCCTCAGCAATGCTAAGGAGCAGTGAGCTGAGTGGTAAGGAGCAATGAGCAGGCAACTGAGGAATGAGGGGTGCTGGATTGCAAGAGAGCGCAGGCTGAGCTGAGGGACCCTTTCTCCCCTGGTGCACGAATTTTGTGCACTGGGCCTCTAGTTTTACTTCTTTATTTCTTCTTCTTGTCTGATTGCTATGGCTAGCAAGTTTAGTACTATATCGAGCAGGAATGCTGAAAGTGAATATCCCTGTCTTGTTCCTTTCCTTAGGGGAAATGAGATTAGTTTTTGCCCATTGAGAATGGCTTATATGGCTGTGGGTTTGTCATATATGGCTTTGATTATGTTGAGGTATTATTTCTCTATTCCCACTTTGCTAAGGGTTTTTATCAAGAAAGGATTTTGGATTTTTTGTCAAATGCTTTTTCTGCATCAATTGATAGATTATGTGATTTTTATCTCAGTTTGTTTATATAATATATCACATTTATTGCTTTGCAGACATTGTACCATCCTTGTATCCCCAGAATAAATCCCACTTGGTCATGGTGTATGATCTTTCTAATGTAATGCTAAATTTGATTTCCTAGAATTTTGTTGAGGATTTTAGTGTCTAAGTTCATTGAGGATATTGGCCTGCAATTCTCTTGTTTTGTGTTGTCTTTATCTGGTTTTGGAATTAGGGTAATGCAGGCTTCATAGAAATAGCTTGGAAGTTTTGCTTCCTCTTGAATTTTGTGGAATAGTCTGAGGAGGATAGGTTTTAGTTCTTTGAATGCTTGGTGGAACTCCCCTGTAAAGCTGTCCCGATCAGTGATCTTGTTTGCTAGAAGATTTTTGATTACTGCTTCAATTTCTTTGGTCGTTATCAGCCTTTGCAGGTTTTTTCATTCTTCTTAATTGAGTTTTGGGAGCTTGTATTTTTCTAATAATATTTCCATTTAGTCTAGGTTGTTCATTTTGTTGGAATAGCATATATGTTATAACATGTTCATAGTATTTTTTCATAATCCTTTTTATTTCTCTGGGATCGTTTTTTACTTCACCTCTTTCATTTCTGATTTTGTTTATTTGGGTCTGCATTTTTTGCTTCTTGGTGAGCCTGGCTAGAGGTTCATCAATCTTGTTTATCCTTTCAAAGAAGCAGCTCTTGATTTTGTTGATCTTTTGTATTATTTTTTGTTTGTTTGTTTTGTCTCTATGTCATTTATTTCCACTTTGATCTTTTTTATGTCCTTCCTTCTGCTTACACTGGGCTTTTCTTGTTGCTCTCTTTCTAACTCTGAGTTGTAGGGTTAGATAATTCATTAACATTATTTCTTGTTTTTTGAGGTAAGCCTGTAGAGCTTTGAACTTCCCTCTCAAGACTGCTTTTATTGTTTCATA